CCAGGGCGATCCACCACTGATCCGAACGATTTCATTTTCTGCAGAATTTTCCCGACCGCTGTTTTGCTGATATTGTACTTCCTAGCGACAGACCGGTGCGATTCACCGTTTTGCACATCACGAACAACCAATTTTCGGATACACACGGGAATTGCTTTCGAAATCACTACGTCCTCCATTTTTTTCAACTGATTCAAATGCGATCACGTGTACAAATGCACCAGTTCCACCCGTTTGCTTCAATACATGTCAAACTTTCAAAACAAAAACAATCGAGGGGTTTTCCGATGGAAACTTATCGAAAACATACCGATTTTTGAAGTGGGCACTTTTTTTTGTCACTGTTTTCTTTTTCAATCCAAATTGATTTTCTTTTACTTCAAGTAAAACTTTATATTTTCAGTATTCCATAGGTGTAACTTTAAAAGAATAATAAAGGTAAGACATCGAAACAGACTACGGTGTGTTTATTTGAATTTGAACCAAATAAATGAGAGAAATTTCAAAAATGATGGGGTGGGCACTTTATTTTGCCTATCAGTGTACAGCGTATCGTAAAATTGAGCGTTCACCCTAGTGGAACATTTTTTGAAACATTTTGAATAGATGTATTTTTTACATCTTGGCAGGTGGTTAAACATCGATTTATCGTTTTAGTTGTGGACCTTATCGGAATAACTTTTATTTTAGTAAAACGGATTTATTTTAGTAAAAGGCACGATTTTCAACTTTTTACCTAATGGACGAATCATTCGTTAAAATTAGTGGAATATGAATGATCTTTATTATGACTAAAAATGAGCAAAATTCAAAAAGTTTAGTTCATAATATTTCAAGAATTGAGGTTTTTTGCTATGGAAAATGTGTTTTTCTCAAATAGCTCTTACTTTTAACAAACGCAACCAAATTAGCCCAACGCTTTACCATTAATTGATCAATTTATGATGGCTCAGCAGCCAGAAATTCAGAAACTTATCTCTGTAAATTGTAAAACCCATTTTTTTCTAAAATTTAAGGACATCTTTACGCTCAATTTTGAGATACACTGTATATATTTTATTAATGCATTTTTTACAATCTAGGTATCTTTTCCAATTGATGAAAGCTTTCAATTTAAAAAAAATCTTAATTTGTCAACACTGTAGATAAAAAGCTATTCTCAGCATTCTATTGTACTAAAAAAAAGTTTAAAATTTTAGGCAAACTTCCAGATTCAATTTCTTGAACAACTTTCAAGACTATACAGCCAACTATCAATTTCTCGATGTTATATATCTCGATATTTCTCCATCCCTTCAGATTTCCATACATCCAGTTCTCTATATCTTAATATTATCTGCATCTTTCTCTATGTCGATGGTCTCTGGAAAATATTCTGGAACAAATTACTTTCCATATGTTGAATAAAAATCTAGTTCACCAGTTTTTCTACGTTTGAAGTAAGCGATTGACTTTTGCTTTGGATACGGGATAAACAAATACACTTTTTGTACCTGAAGTGCTTCTAGAATCGTATTAGTAGACTATATGAAGCAACACGAAGGCCCTACGATCTTCTGATCGGATCTAGCTTCGTGTCATTATTAAAATGTTCTCCTGGAGTGGTACGAAGCCAACGGGGTCAGTTTCGTACCCAAGGACATGAACCCCTCCCAACGCACCGGAACTAAGGCCAATCGAAAAATACTGGGCTATTATGAAGCAAGCACTACGGAAGCATCCCAAGGAGGTCAAATCTGAGGAAGACATGAAGAAAAAGTGGGTTTCCGTACAGAAGAAGTGGGTTTCCGTACGCTATTGATAAGCTTCAACATTTGTCACGAACATCCTTGGAACGTTTAAAAACCAGTTTGACCGACTTCCTTTGTCGATCAACCCGTTAAAACATGTTCAATGCAATCCCAATAATGGTTTGCTTTTTCAAACCAGCATTGTTAACATTCAAACAAATAAATTATTCGAGTTGATAACCCATCTTGCCTCCCCTTACCCTATACACTTTTCCAATATATATTGTTATTCAATGTACTAGTACTAAAATAAATTAAAAACATTGAAATTTAAGTTTTAAACACTTTTTGTTTTTTAACCGCAAAATGACCAACCATTTTTTATCGTATCGAAGATTTTAATCTAACCGTTTTTCTGAGGTATCGCAAAAATAGGAAACTTTGACCAAATCTAGTGCGCTTAACCTACCATTAGAGATTCAAAATAGTTTTTTTTCAGCCAACATGCTTTGAATAAATAGGCCTACAACTTTTCTCAACCTTGTGCTGGTCTATCTCCAATAACTAAAAATTTGATATTTAGAACTCATGTGCAGGTTGTCGACAACTGGCTTCTTGTTATTTGTCTTCTTGTCGGTTCTGTATCCGGTTGCATTTTTTATTGGTAGAGCCTATCAATAGCCAGAGGCCATTGTTTTCAAAATAAATGTTCAAGTAAATCATTTCATTATAACTTGCCGAAATCTAAGCCTAGCGCTAAAAATATTTTTCAAAAATATCACTAAATTTGATGAAAATTTAAATGCAAATGAAGCTAATTGGCATATGTTACCTTCATTCTTGACATAATGTTTGCATGCGTAAACAATGTGTCAAATTCAACCATTCAGCGACTGGTCTACATTATAGTCGCTATATTCATAGTCTGGCGGATAGAATTTCGATCTATCAAAAAGCGGTACCAATTCAATATATTTTACACCAACAATTGAAAAAGTACTATCAACTTTTATAAACAAAACGTTGATTATTCTTTCCTCGTCAATTGAACGCAAATTACCGGCATCATCGGATAAGGGAACGTTTCCCCAAACCCAAAGATGATGTTAGTTTGCGTAAGCGAGCCTTCAGGGACGAGAAAAGGGTTTCCGAAGTTTTGTTCGTAATAGATGATGTGCTCTTTTCTGTTGTTGGTCGTGATTTGCTCGATTGGTTCCGCTATTTGACAGCTCAATTGGTTCCCGAGATTCTATTCGCCAGACTATGAATATAGCGACTATAGTCTACATTGGCCTAGAAATCGGATTCGAGTTGCCTCGTCTCATCTCAGCTCATGAGCCATAAGTACCACATCAATGTACTTTGCATCAAAAGATGGACTGAAATACTATAAATGGAAAAACTTTCCCGAAGACTCATTTAACCTAAAACCAATGGCTTAGGCGCAAACAATTTATTCCTTCTAAATACGGCATTTGTACCACTGACCACTGAGTGAAATGATATTCTACGCCCAGGTAAGTCGGGAAAATTTTCAATCCGAACTGATTTTCTAAACCAGACCGGGAATCGAACCCGCCACCTCCGGCTTGGTTATACCGTGTCTTAACTAACTAGCTTATCTGAGGCCTCAACATGAAAATGTAATACCCAAGCAACTTATAAATTTTCCCATTGTTTCAGAGAAAGAGACATGAACCAAAACATGAAATCCCATATTGACAGTTGGTTCTATTTAGTCGAAGACATGTTGGATTCAACTTGAATGTAGAGGGATTTCACAGCAATTGACAAGAGACATTCATTAGAAATTTGTCCTCTAAACATTTTGTTATCTTGGCTTTTTGACATTTGTGATGATTTAACCTTCCGAGCTTTGGTCTTTCCGCCCTTTGGTCCTTTAGACATCTGGTGTTTTCAAACTTTGGATTTGCCACGTTTTGTCCCGTTGACCTTTTGACATAGATTCCTTGAATATTATCCTTTTTTGGATCATAAGCAAATCTTTGGGACGTGCCTTTTCGAACTTTCGTCCTTTGACGTTTTATTCCTTTTCTCAAAGACACCTGTCTTATCCCAAAAAAATGTGTGGTGATTATATTTTAACGCCGTATGAACCCATAGTTTAGTAAGAACTAAGGTCAGTTATCCATCGATTCTCAACGTTGCCATACTGTGATTTGAAGCACGCTTTTCATCGCTTTTTTATATGCTTTTCGTTCAGTGTGGGTCTAGAATCGATCTCTATTATTTTTTTAATAGGTCCTATGTCCATTTGTAGATCAAAAAATCGTTTAATTTGATTCGCTTTCTACCGCGACCAGTTGTCATCAATATTGAAAATCCGCTGCTAAGTTCGCGGTAGAAAGCTAATCAAGTTTATCGATTTTTTGATCGACAAACCTTTTCAAAATGGACTTAAGCGATGAGCTATGCCGTAGTGTTATGGATCAATTAATTACAGTCATGGAGCAGTAAGTTCGCCATTAGACTGATGCAAAATTTGAAATTTTCGCTCCACAGCGCTCAAACGGTTCCAAATTGGGTCCTGATTAGCCTCCCACAATTTGAACTACATTAGTAAGAAACTGACTTGGCACAAACCATTTCAAGTTCATAAGGAAATTACTATGGGAAAACTTATGTTTTGTTCATATATATCTAACAGTTCACCACATCACTGTGATTTTAAAAATGATAACAGAGATTGTAGCAAATTTTCTCAGCTACAACTTTGTTGAACACCACTTTTCAAACAAATGCACGGAACAAAAGTTATTAATGATTCAAGTCACTGATGTCTTATGATTATGCTCATTCAACTGTTCAGCAGGCAACATTGGTGTTTCTGGTGCGAACAATAGAGCACAATTTAAATATCATGGCTACTATGTCACACTGCAGAATACAGTGTTGCTAACAGAACAGCTGCTTGATCATGCCATAAGATTATCAATCTCTTAAACAATTAATATCTATTTAATTTGACATTTGGCTGAAAAACGATATTCTGCAAAATTGTAGCTTAGAAAAATTCCCGTGAGAATAGTTATAGAACTTTTCGAAAAATCAATATAGAAAATGGGTAGAAGACAATGAACAAAAAGTTTGGTTTTCCCATAGTAATTTCCATATAAACTTCGAATGATTTGTGCCAAGTCAGTTTATTACCAAATGAGTTTAAATTTTAGTAGGCTCATCAGGACATGATTTGAAGCCGTTTGAGCACTGTGGAGCGAAAATTACAAATTTTGCATCAGTCTATTCACCATGTTAATCCAATGAAAGTGAAAAAGGCACAATTAATGGAACCAAATCGTCAGACGTTTGAAGTTAGGCTCGTTTATCAGTGATACCATTAAACCTGTTTTTTATTTACTGGCGCTTTAAAAACGACTTTTAAACAAGAACCATTAATTTCACTCACCTTTGCAGAATGTTTACTTTTTTTCGGTTGATGCTTTCGTTTTGTGTGTTTATTTGTTTCTTTGTTTGGTTCGTATGTACAACGGGAGATAGGAAGAATCTTGTTTTGCTTTGTTGGGGTTCCGTTTTGGCTAGATTGTTTCATTTATTTTCGTATTATCTACTATCTTTCATCATTTTTACACATTTATTAACAGCTATCGACCTCACGGCCCCGAGAACGATCGATCATATCGATGCAATTCATGAAAATAATATCCTAATTCGTTTTCTCGTGTTTTCTTTCATATTTATTTACATATATCCCCTAAGACCGCAACAGTCGCGTGATAACACTCAGTCAGTCGTGTGTAGTTAACTAAATAAATTCACTATAAAATCAATCGATCTCCTCCGTCAACATGATTCGGTACGTTCTAGGCTTATTGTACTTGTCACTACTGTGAAATAAGAATTGCTTGCATATATAAATAAAGCTCACGTAGTTCCAATACTGGGTGTTTCTGAGTTTCCAACAAATGTTTCAAATCGATGAGTAACGATGAATTTAACGAAAAAGCACTAACTACCATAGATGCTAATTGTTGAAACCTAAACATAGTGACAGACTTGTCCAAAACGGGAAAGCAATGTTCATTCAACTGCTTCCAACAGAGATAACTACTGACGTTAACATATTTCCTCGTTATAAAATGTCTAACCCAAAGTACACATCCTAATGTTTTATGCTTACCGGGCGAATGTTGCCCATTTTCACTCTTTGATAAATTTTCGTATCAAATAACTATCTAGTTTAGTCTATGTTACTCAATAACAATCTTTGTTTTCTCACTTTTTCTTCACGTTCTACCGATGATGGATTGCTTTAGTGAGTAAGAAATCGGACAATCAAATATGTAGGTAACGAAACAACATAACAGAGCAATCGATCGATTTCTGTAGGATCAATCCACCCAGCGATTTCGGTGGTGAATGTTCGATTTTGTTTTTCAAAAATTTTCACTTGCCCTGCGGTGAATGAGTTGTTGATGGATATGATGAGTGACTGCATAGTTGTGTCATGTGCATACGTGTGTTTGATGGCGATTGATGAGATGAGTGCTCCTAAAAATCCAGAAAATCGCTGTAACAATCCCTTCACACATTGATTTGGAATGCTTCTCGTTGAAGCTTCTGATTGGCACGTGGTCGTGGCGAGTGATTGCTCGACTTTTTCGTACTAGTGAGCTCGCTGGCACTGCCCACCAGCCCGGAGGGATTCACGGACGAGACGGCCAACGTGGCGTCCCGTCCAAGCATATCGGAGAACCTGGCTGGTGGTGTTATATGATCGGAATAATTTGGATAATTAGATATACTGGAACGAAGAAGAAAAGCGAAGTGTTGCATTGGTATTTTGGCTATTTGGAACCGGCGGCTGCGTTAGTAGGTGGGACGGTAGGTGGTGGGTTGGATATCGGTGCAAGTACCTAAACGTTGTTTCCTCGTTGTGGCTCGAGTAGCCGCTCGAACTCCTGACGTGTCGCTTCGCCAGGTTCTGTGATGATTTCGCCGACTTTCGTGGCGGGTACGGTGGTTTCGACTTTCTAGATATACTAGAGGGTGAGTTTTCAGAAGACGATGAAGTTTCGTCTTGAGTGTCTGGAAGCGTTTAGCGGAAAGAATGTTATTGTGATAGCTTGTTTTTGTAGAAATCTTATTCATGCAATCATCCTTTCAAGTATCAATTGATCAAGGATGAGCAGGCGTCCAAATTACAGATTTAATAGGAACACAATGTTCTCTTCATGATCTGTTGATTTTGGCATCCTGATGTCTTTAGAGAAGTTGTACATAACAGATAACTTCACATTGTGTACAACATAGATTTCCTCTCAAGTAAATGACTAGAGTGGTTAAGTCGCCACTTTTCAATCAGTACATATGGGAAGTTTTGAGGAACCCACGTTTTTGTGCTGTAACTACTTTATTTGAATTGTTCACTACTCATATTGCGCATTTTGCACCAAAGTATACTCCTGCGCTATAATCTCACGGATTTTTTTTTTCGCGCATGTCTGAATAAAAATAATTATTTATTTTCAAAGATCTGTCACAGTCAGTATGTCGATATGATATTCTATTGTAAAATATAGCACTGTAATACATTCAAAATTGTTAATTTTTATGATTGCTGACCTGAGCGTAACAAAATCTGAGGGGTTATTTTCAGCGCAGAAGTATACTTTGGAGCAAAATTCGCAAAACTGTGTTCAGCAAAGCTTATCTTCTATCAAAAGCATGAACTATTTTTATCTCTATCAAAGAGATAAACTATTTAAATAAACTTTATCTAGTTTTGTTGCAAAATTTGGAAAGAGTTAACTGCAAGATAAGATTTTCTAAACAAATTTACATAAATTGAGGCACTTGACCAAGTACACTGATATAACGAAATGGTTCTACGTAATTTCAAATTCGTTTAACCAGAATATCGTTACAACTTTATTTGAAACATACATTTTTAGAGAATTAGCACGTAGTCTAGATTAGAGTATTCTAAGTCATGGGTTACATTTGAAAAACAACAAATCAAATTCATGTATCGTAATTTCATATAATATAATAACAAATAAATCTCTTCATAAGTGCTTGGTGCGTTTGCTAGATTTTCTCAATAGTGTACCATCATGTCGCCAACTACAACCTACACAGAAAAAAAAATCTGAATTTTAGGGTTGATGCATATATTATGTCACGCTCTAAGGGGGGAGGGGGGTCTAAGATTTTGTGACAAGCAATGCATTAGGTATAGGAAAAACGTCGGGGGTAATTTTTTGCTCGATTTAGCGTGACAAAATTAATGCATGGGCCCTTAATGGTGATGTACACATACATGTATGCAACCATCCATGCATGTGAGCGGTTCCATATCATTAAAGCAACGAGTAATTTTCATCTTTTTTGATTTGCCTGAAACCTTGCATACAAGTTTTTGCTGAAGAAAAACGCCGTTTTGCATACTTGGTTCGCCATTTTGAATCTAGCCTTACTTATGAGAAGGGCCTATGAAAAATGCACATGATATCTTCAAAAAATTGTATCTCGGAAACGGTTTGTCCGATTGGTTTGGTGTCTTGGGCAAAGTTTTAGACAATTGTTGGTGTTATATGGAAAAAATATGCACGGTAAAAAAAAAGTTTGGTATTTGTGTTTTGAACTAAAATATAAATTTTCCCTTTAAAGTGACATGTCAATAATTTTTTTATTATCTTTATATTATAGCTGACTGAAAATGCTATCTAGTGCACAGTAGGTTGTTCTGGAGAAAAATAGGTTACGATGAAAAAAATTGTTTTTTAAAAAAATACAATTTTCAAAAAAGCTATTAAGAAAAGTCAAAAAAGTTTGTCACCCTAATTTTATGAAAGTAAATCAAATTTGCATACAAAAAGTACTTCGGTAACATTTTTCTAAGATGCACCGTTTAGAAGATATTACTGATTTAATATTGTTTTTTTTTGATAACTTAATAAATTTTGGCCCTTTTCGGATGTACTCCGTGTTTTTCCAGTTTCAAAAGTATTTTTTTCGGAAAGATTGGAAAATTTTGAGTTAAAATGAAACTGACAGCTTAAAGATTCGAGTGAAATTCTCTGCCTTAAAAGTATTTTGAAAAACATGTTACAAAATCCCACAATCAGGAACAATGATTTCTTCAAGTGATTTTTGGTGCGTTGTGCTGAAAATGTGCATTCAACTCTTACATATCGCCTAACAGTTTAATCCATTTAAACTGGATGTGTTTATACTGTGCATATTTTCTCTCTATTGCCGAACATCGCCACAGACATCAAACCGATGAGACAACTCGATTTCGAGATACACCTTTATGAGAACTGCAAATGTAAGCTCCTCAATTAGCAAGATTCAAAAGAGCGAATTAAGCTTATTTTTTAGGGATGGTGATTGTGCGCAATAAAAAATAACATTATATGTTGGATATCATCAGTTTATTTTTATTCCTGTATTTTTATAAAATTATTGTTTACACAACTTTCTTAACAATATTGAATATTTTGGCATCATTGTCAGGACAGTTTGAATAAAGCTTTGCCTTTATTGTATTTTCTGATAGAGGAAGAAATGAGTGGAATTTTAGAGTTCCTTGAATTGTTTTTGCATTATTATATTGATTATTTAGCTGCAAAGACATATTTTCGTATTCTTCTGTAGTAGAATAACAAAACGACAACTTTGTAAGTTCTTCTTCTTTTCGTTTGTTTGCCCAATTAAACAACTCTCTTGCAGTCTTTATCGGGTGTTCGCGTTCTTTGGCTAAACTTGCTCTGGTAGCCATGCGTTTTATCGTACCTTCAATAGCATCGCATGGACCTTTTCCGTGCGATGTTGCGAAGAAATGCCATTCAGCGTCAATACCATACTTTGACTTAAATTTACAAAGGCTAGAAAAGTTTTTTCGGTTTTTATACTGTGAAGCAGCACCATCTGACATAAAATAATTTTTTTTTATGTTTTTATTTTGATCAATTTGTAAAAAGTTTATCATTTTATCAATAAACAAATTGACAGCGACTGAATCATGTCTTAGTTCTTCAGAAGTTATAATGAAGCTAAAATCACAGACAAACAGACATAACACTCGCAAGTTGTTCATCGAACAAGCATTTAACGGTAAATTTAAAAGTATCGTAGTTGGTAGTACCGCCACCTGTGGCGTGCATAGTCAATTCCCTTGCGTTTGACGTTTAAACACTACCGCCATCTGTTCAGCGTACCACCCACCACAGTGTATTCAACAGATGGCGGTAATGTTTTAGCAACGATGTTTTACAGTGATAAATATTCAATGTGTTATGTCTGTTTGTCTGTGCTAAAATGTTTAATTTGCATATTTTCAGTATAATATATTACGAAAGGATGGATTGTGGCCTGTTGCACGTTCCAATGGTGTGATTGAACTTCATCCTGCAAAACGAAGCTGTAATTTTCAGAAAAGTCACAAATAGCTAAAAATTCACCATCTTGCAAGTTTTGTTTTGTAGTTTTCAAAAAATTGGATTGTTCGGTTTTTACAAAATCATGCGGAATCAAACTTTCTAATTTTGAGCTGAAAAATGAAACAAACTCATCGGTTTGCTTTACAATAGTTTCTAAATCACATCTGTCAGTGGTAACCCATTGTTCGAATGAAAGCTTTTCAACAAAGTTTTCTTCCAGTTGTTTCAATAAACTGTCTTCTAAAACTGAGGTATCTGGGCAGTTTTTACATCTTCGTAGATGGCAATGAGTTGTCTTATTTTCGCAAAGTAATCTATTCGTTAATGTTTTTAGATCATTCAATACATTGTATTTTTTAAGCTATGTAGAATTAAATTGACATTTTCATGCGTAGTGCAAACGCAAACATTATGTGTTCCTGTGATAGTCAATAGTTTACATTGCCTTGGCCGGAGGCTTGCAAATGATGAAAACCCTATTTTTACATTGACGTACATTTCATTAAAGCGATTAAAAGCTTCTCTCAATGTCATCATTAACAATCTTTTCTGAACAGCTAATCTCTTATTTCCTGTCTTTACGCTAACAAAATCTCTTTGGCCTGGCATTGCACGGCTTATATCATCGTCCTCAAAAAAAATTCAAAACCAGTTCTTTTGTTTCATTACTCAAAGCTTTTCCAGAGCTTGAACCTTGAGATGAATCAAATACATTATCTCTTTCCTTTCTTGCATCTGATGCCATATTTCTACTGGTTTTAAATTCGTCTACAATTTTTTGTACTGACCATGATTTTGGCAACAATGATAAAATTGATAGTTTTTCTTGCCTTGTGGCTGAATTTAAAAATTTAATTTTCATATTTTCTATGACTTCATCAAACTCGTTTGCTTTTTCTGTTTTAGCGTCTAATTTAAAAAGATTTCATCGTACACCTTCGACGATTTCAGCGCACTTTTTTTCAGGATAGTGAACATTTTTAACATTACCTAAATCTATAGGCGAAACACGAATAGCTGCTATTCCTCGGTTGAATATTTCGACGTCTACAGGCATCGTGAAGTCTTCATTTGATTTAATTGTGCTTAGCGTTGACTCTGATGGTATCGTGACCAAACTTTCAACAGTTGGCATACTTGAGCCGCCGGCTACGATTTGTTCCTCGTTTTGGGTGAGGTGAGCTCTTGAATCAATATGTAGACGGCAAGACGAACAAACACGAAAATCCTTGGTGTTCAGTGTGGATACCTTGGAAAATCCAATTGATTTTAGTTTTTGGATGATACCATCCGTGAGATATCGCAGCTCTTTCGAACACTGAATGTCTTTGAATGGGCGAATACATCTTATTTTACTCATTTTGTAATCTGTAACATAGAAAATATTTTCCAATTGTTAGTTTTGTACGAAAATATCACAAAACATATAATTAAAATGTGTATTTAAAACTTACCTTTGCACCAAAACGTGTTACACTTTCCTTTACAATTATTATGTTATCAAACAACACTGGATCTCGTTCAAAAACACAGGATTATGAGCTGAAATTACTATAATCACTATGCTACTAGCAACCTTTCTGCATTTACTGTTTGGTTTTCCCTAGTAGATACTGGATGAATTCAGAACCGAGTCAGACA